TTTCATTAGGAAATCAATCACAGGACCATAATTCTATGGATTAATTTCTTAACGAAAAAATAATGTGGTCTTTGCTCTAAGTTGACTATAATTTCAAAGACAAAAAAAAAACTTTTCCTGTTCCAATTTAACAAGTTCATTTAATTTATTCCATTCTTCCATAAATCTTGCCCGCTTTCACCCCATATATAACGGAAGTTAGCAATTGCGTGTCAACAATTGACAAGAAATAAGAACTACAAAAGAGAATTCAATTCCTCTTCCACTTCCTGTTTTCGTATGATGTTACTTTCCACCGTTATTGGATATTGATTCCAACTTTGACTCGCCCATCTTTGCCAAATTATCGTTATTAAAGGACAACATAAGCAGGCAACCGAAAATAACTGAAAAGTCAGCCGTTTGTTTTCCAGCCTAAGGAAAACGATTATTTCAACTAACTAACTCGAGATGATCTTTGAAGACTTTAACAGATTATATAAAACTGGTAAATCTATCATTTATTTACTAATTGTTGATGTAATTAATCGTTGATTTGTTTTGTTAGGTCAAGTAAGGAAGTTGGCTTCTTCATCTGATCGGGATATTTTACCCTTGAAAGAGAGCTCATTTTGATTAAGTAACAGCAGGTTAAAAATGGAACATATATTGACATAAATGGTAAATAAACAATAGAAAAATAAAAATAAGACATATTATTTATAATTTATGCATTGTACGATTCGTTATAATTTTTACACGTTATATTGATATTGATTTGATCATTAATAATTTTGAAGTTACGTGACTATTAATTGGTTTTGATACAAATTTGCTCTAAAAATTTTCAATTGGAAATACTGGATATCTGAAATATCTGAAAGTTTTTTTTTTGGGTTAAAGGTTGTCCCTAAAGTTTTCAAATTGTAACAATTCTGTCTAGACATTATTCATGTTAATTTTAATTGTTAATTGACAAAAAATGAATGTGAACCTACCAACTCAGCATATTTTATTAACTAATAGTTAAACATAACTTGGATAATACCCGTGTAAAAGTACTATGATTTGAAAACTTTTAAGGCAACATTAAACCTAAAAGTATTCTGGATATCAAACACCCTTAAATAAAGACTTTCAAGCTAAATTTATACTATATCCAATAAAAATGATCTCAGTTGCACATGTTATTACTTTTTTTATCTGTTTCAATTCTTATTTGTTTAGTTAACTTATTTTGCTTTACTTTTGATATATACCTATCTAATAATTATTTAATTACACTCAAATATTGTCAAATTCAATTGGAATTTTTCTAATGCATTTTATGTATTCATGAGTTTAAGTATAAACTCTTATATTTAAGCAGTCATAAGCTTTTTTATTAAATCAAGCATCTATTTGTGTCATACTTTTATTTTTTTAAAAAAAATAAACATATGTCATACTTCTTTTTTATCCTAAACATTTGAGATGGGTTGGACACATTCAAAGCAAACATACTAGTAGGAAGAATTGATCAAGCAGTATGAAATCTTTTGAAAGGGGTAGAAGAAAGCTAAAGATAATATATAGTCAATGAAGTTATTAAGCAAGCTCTTTTAGTTAATAGTCTATTTAAAGATTTAGCCATTAATAGTATAATTACGTCATGTGATGGATACAATCAATTCATATAACCAATCCCATCTAAGAGAATAAGACTTTGTTGTTATTGTATTTGTCTCATACTTTGTTGTACCTTCTTTTTTTATTTTTAGAATATTCTTACTTATAGCACTGCAAATAATACAAATAAGAATATCAAATTCTTTCTATACTACATTAGCTCAACAACAATTGGTTATAACTTAAATCTTCAGTAGCGTTTGTCGCCATGATGTCCGCTTCCGTGTTTCCATCGCTCCACGTGTCCATCACCACTTCTAATAGTATGTTTGATGGGCCGAACCACCACCTGGAAATTGGGACACTGACCTGGCTCAAGTTCCTACCCAAACCTCTCCTTAATTCCATGCATCTCCGCCGATCCGCCCCCACATTTCTACATTTGACTTTTAATTGAAGAGTCGCCCATCGTATGATGGTTCCAGCGAGGTAACTACACTCCGTCTCTTATTATAATATTCTTTTAACTAAATTATACAGTTTAAGAAAACAATTAAAATTAGTTAAAAACAATTAATATGTAGCAAATATAATTTTTTTTCCAAATATACCCCTATATATATGGTAGATGTGAGAGAGTAATAGTGAGATAAATGAAGAAAGAGAATGTATTAAATGCATTAAACTAAGGATAAAATGGGTAATAGTGCATTAAATATTTAGACAAACTCAAAAGAGATCTTATAAAAAAAGAAAAACTTATTCAAAAAAATATAATTTTATAATAAGGGACGGAGAGAGTATTTTGTAAATATTAAAAAGAATTAGCGAAGTTTGTTATTCAGTAAAGAAAATGTATAGTGATCTCTATAAAGTACCTATTTTAATCATTTGATTGGAAGTCACTTCCAATAAAAAGCCCCTTAATATATATAAAACAAATAATAAGAATTTTAGAAAAAATTATAAATTTGAATTAGATAAAACGTGAACATGAGTTTTATATTAAGAATCAAACTAAACTCTTTGACTAACTTTGAAATTCAAAATAAACGAAGTTAGTATTTTGCTACAAAATATAAGACATAAAGGAGTGTTTGGATTAGTTGTTTGAAAGTGATCTTACAATATGAGAGCAGTTTTATCTCAAATTATATGAAAGTATTTTTTTTAAATGCTTTTGAAGGATGCCAACCTCCCATAAGTTAAAGTGTTTCAATGGTTTAAAATTCAAGAACTCTGTAAGTCATTAAAATGCTTTTTTTTCCGAATAAAATACTCCTATATATATAAAAGAAAACGTTTTGGGATTTACAAGAAAAATGTCATTTATTAATTAGGGATCAAGTTAAAAAAAATAAGTATATTTTGGTACAAATACAATTAGCTTAACTAACATCACTTAATTTTGACATTTCTTAACTCATGGGCTCCTTCAAGGTGGCTAACTTTCTTCCTCCTGATTTTCATTACTTCTTATCCTACTGCCTTTTATTTTCTCATGTCTTTTAATTTTGCACGAACTGCTTGTTTCATAATAACATTTCGATCATTTATTAAAAAAAATTAATTAGTTTATTAATGAGTTTTATAAGTTTGAACAATTTAGGTGTTAATGTTTTTTAAATGACAAACTAGATATCATTACCAAATGCAAAATACAACCAAAGCAAATCAAGGTTCCTTCCTCAATAGCCACCCCCGCTTCATGCCTAAGAGGTGCTAGCGGCGTTAATATTTTATAGATGGAAGTATTATGTCTGAGGTTTGTTGTCGAGGGGCAATGTTACTTAATATAAGAGCTAATTTAATACTATTTTCAGTTCTTAATATAAGACCTCGTTTAATTTTTATTTTGATCCTAAATATAAGAGATAAATCTACTTTATCTCTCATATTTATGTATTTTTTTTCTAAGAAAATCCTTCTAATAATGATGCTTCTAGCTAATACACTTGATTAGCAAGGATATTTTAGGAAAGATAATAACTATTCATTACAAATAACTAACTTAACTTGTTTCCTTAATCTCCTCAAATTAGTCAACTAGCTCTTATAATTAGAACCAGAGGTAGTATTTAATTTGATTCTAAATATAAAATCTCAATCTATTTTATGTCTCATATTTATTTATTTTTTTAAGATAGTCCGTATAGTAGTTGCATATGTTAAATATTTCATCAAATAGTAGTTCTAATTAATATATATTATTAACAAGAATATTTTAAATAAAACAACATTTATTTATTATAAATAACTAATATAACTAATTTTTTTAATATACTGAAATTACTCAATTAACTCAAAAACGGGATGCAGTAATTTAGATTAAAAAAAAGATACACGAAAAAAAGTGGGCTTTAATTTTAATTTTTAAACGTGAGTCTAATAAGGTGGGGCCCTGCCTTCTTATGCCCAGATGGCTGTATCTAAATATTTTTCTAGATGAGGTGTCTTAGTTTTAGGGATGTAAAAAAACACATTAGGTAAGATTCCCATTTTTTGAAGAAAATAAAACGATGCTTTGGGTTAAAAATAATAATCACGACAGTCTTATTTTTTTTTTTTTTTTTTTTTTTTCCTACAATGAATCAAGTCCATCAACAACCAAGAAAAGACAAGTGTGTCCCAACCAACTTTCCATTTCTTTCTCTTTACTCAAGTTTTATATATCAAGAGGGGTTTTAAAAGATCAAAACATAATTATTTATATGTTGGTTATTAATTAACTGATTTTTTATTTTAATGCATTATAGCTAGAGCTAGGAAAGCGGGTTGGCGATGCGGATACGGGCTAGCTCGTTGCAATGCAGGCCGAATGCTATGCGGGCCGGAGGTGCAGGTTGGCAGAGCCCACCAGCCCACCTAAATTTTTTTTCTAAAAAAATCTATTATATTAGTATGAGCTAGGCTTAGTTTGAAATAGGGGTGAGCAAACAGCCCATAACCCGCTAGCCCGCCCATAACTCAATAATTTTTTGCCCATTAAAGCCCGCCCAATTAGCCCAAATAGAAGATAATAAATGGGCTTACTTAAATGGGCGGGACAGCCCATTAAACGGGACTGGCTATGGGCAAGGCTACGGGCTGCCCATACCCGCCCATTTAAGTTTTATTTTCTTTAAAAAATATTTTTATTCTTTAGAGTTTAGACCTAGCTTCAGCAGCTGCCTTTCATTCAAGCTTTCAGCATCGCTTATATGATGAGTATGCAGTTAATGTCAAACCTTCTGATGATGATGCATTAACATCCCAGCAATCATTGCAGCAAATGGATTCTTTTGCTAGTGGTGATATGGTCAGTGAGTTAGTTCCTAATGTTGAAGAGGCTATTGAAGATGACCCTACCTACCAAGAGTTTTTAGTCACTGCAAGCACTACATGTAAGAAACCTGAGCAAGTTTCTGAGATTGATGAATATCTTCAAGCTGGATTATGTGGCCTTGCTGATCCTAAATTTGATCTTTTGGCATGGTGGAGAGTAAATGCTTCCAAATATAAAGTTCTTCGTCTCATTGCATGTGATTTGTTGGTTGTATCAGTTTCTACAGTCTCTTCAGAATCTGCCTTCAATACTGGGGGTCGAGTGCTTGATACTTTCAGAAGTTCTTTATCTTCAAAGATGGCTGAGGCACTTGTATGTGCTCAGAATTGGCCGTGTACAAATCATCCTAAGGCAAATGATTTGGATGTTGATAATTTTGATGCGAGTACAAGTATTGTTGTTGGTAATTGACTAATTTCTGTATCATTGAGTTTGAAGCATTGCATTATGTTTTTTATACTAATAGTCTAATATTAATAACATTAACTTATTTTTGTTTGTTTTGTTCTTACAGAGCAAGAGGCAGCAACCACACATTCAACAATTTCAAGTGATTCTGAAGCAGAACATGATGATACTCAAGATCTAGCTAGATGATCAATTGATGATTTATGATATTGTTTCTTATTCAAAGTTTGTAACTTTCAAAGTTTGTGAGACTTTTTATGATTGGTGGCTACTTTTATGATTTTATTAGACTTTGATTGTTTGTGTCTTTGTGACTCTAACTGAAGTTATATGATTGAATATGGTTGGTATTATGTGATGTTATTTCAGATTTGATTTGCTATTTGGTATACAAAATTTATTAACAGCTTCATAAGATGACATATAAAAAAGTAGCTGTGCTAAAAAAAATATAAAAACAAAAACAAAAAAATAAATAGGCTGCCCCGTAGCCCATTTACTACGGGCTAAAATGGGCTGCTACCGGGTTATGGGCTAGCCCATGCCTGTTTATTCATAAATGGGCGGGCTATGGGTTAACCTTTGGGCTAGTCCAGTCTGCCCATTGCTCACCCCTAGTTTGAAATGTTGAAATTAGGCTCTGAGTCTTAAACTTGAGTAATGGGCTCTAATAAAAAAAAATAGAGAATTAATTTATAATTTTAGAAGATATTTAAGAAAAACTAACACATACTTTTTTTTTATAAATAATTAATTTAACTAGTTTTCTTATCAAAATTAATTAAGTAAATCTTTTATATGTGTGTATGTATGACTATATAAGAATCACATGTTTATCTAACCTTATGAAGCCGTGTATAGTAACGACAAATAGATATAAAAATAAAAGATGGATGGTGTTTTTTATATTACTATACACGTATATATGAAGTGCTTAATTAATTATATATGTAATGATATGAATGAGGTAATGTCCATATGAAATTTGAGGGTCAAAGTCCTCTAACTATATTATATAATGTATTAAAAAATCAGAAAAAGTTATAAAAAAAAAAAAGCGGGCCGGCCCGCCAACCCTCAGGCCAGCCCCTGACGGAGCGGGCCAAAAACAGTGTGGGCTAGAGTAGCCCGCACCGGGCTGGTGGGCTGGGCCCGTGACCGGCTCTTTATAGCAAACCACAACTACAAGAATCTAAAACATTATATTATATTAATGTAGTGAGCACTGTTGCCTCTCTTTCCAATACATGTTTATAATAATTTTATCGTAGGGGTTATAAGAAAAATATGATAAACAATATATGTTTTATTTATAAAAAAACTAATCCCTTATTAGTAATTACCTTCGTAGTAAGTTAATTTATGTAATTTATTCCGCCTCTTTTTTAGTAAATCTAAGAATTAAAGTATTTTTTTTTGTCATCTTTTTTACCTCTTTTTGTAAATAAACAGACGCATCTTTCTTACGTACTACATGGAATCTAAATTATAATAAAGTTGCGTTATTATTTTCCCTATTATTAATGTTTGAGTGAAGTAACTTCTTACGAAATTAATTTTAATTTTATTTGATCTTTTGGGTGTGGATATAGACATACATAAATTCTTTGAACCGTATAGGTTTAATATTAGCGATATATATGTTAAATATTTTGTTTTTTTCAGAGATAAAATAATATTTTTTTTAAAAAACTAATAGTTAAATAGAGGCACTAGTTGTAGGTAAAAATTTTTTATAGGACTCCATTTGAGTTGTCGACTGTATTTCCCTCTTTTAAATATAATATATATTTTATAAAATCCTATATTTTAACTTCTAAAGTGCTTTACGGAGTTTTGAGAGTAGTTAATAATATTTTTATTTAAAATATCTCTGGATATAATATCAAAATTACGTACCTACTACATAACAAGTAATTAATAATGTGTAGTATTTAAAAAAATAAATTTTAAAAAATTTTAAACTCTTAATAGCTACCTAGCCATTTTCCCTAATTCCTATGTCTTAGTTAAAACACTTTATGTTAAAAATGAAAGGAATATTATTTTTTGAAACAAAAATGCCGTTATTCATCATCCCGTTTGAAGGTTCAATTCGTACATTACTTAATTACAATGGACAAAAAGAATATGGATTCAACTATTGCATTTTAGGGCCATTTCGGTAAATAAATTATTAAAAGATTATTATTAATCAAAATAACTCAATTTCTTAATTTTCAAAGAGTAAGTAAATAGATCCTTTAATTAAGAATATAAGGATAGTCACTTATATATTCAGATGAAGTAGAAAATCAACAAGACAAACACACTTTCTAGAATTATTAACGAATAATTAAAGTCAATGGCATAATTAAGAGCCAAAACGGAACCAAATAGAGAAAGATCACAGGTTGTAAACCTGTGATGTGCACACCAATAGGTGTGTGTGGAATTGTGGATAGGGGTATGTGAGCGGGTTTAATTGTCCCCTTTAAATACCAAAAGAAAAATAATTATTAATGCCATTTAATTAAAACCAAAGAGTCACCTCTGGTTTAGTGCTTGTGACTAACAACAACTCCAACTTTATTACTCACATGCAGCATTTGTTTTGTTGTTTTCCAGCCGAATTCATTCACGTGCCAACATTCTAGGCTTTCTTTTATCGATCGGCAAGAACTAAGAATAACCTAAATCAAAATACAAGTATTTTGTGTGTACAAAATTTATGCAATGCTAATATTTTCTTTGTATGCAAACTTATTAGGTCTTTCTCATCAATATAATTTTTAATTGGAAACTTTTTTCCGTTTTCTTTTTTTTAATTTTTCAATTGAATTTATTCTTATAATTAATTTTTAAAAAAGTTGTTTTGTTTTTCAGTCAGATTCATTCATGTGCCAACATTCTATAAGCTTTTTTCCTTTTTTCCAAACATTCATATATTTCGTTACATGTTAATTTTTTTTTTTAATTGGGCATAATAACCAAGGTAGTGTTTGGTTAGCGGGGTTTTTGAGGCAAGCGGAAAGGATGCAAGGGGAGGGAAAGGAGCAAGCATGTTTGGTTGGCAAATATTGAGTGGAGGGGAGGAGATACGCTTTTTATGTACCCCTGCCCTTCAAAAGTGGAGGTTTTTTAGAGTTGAGAAACATTATTTTTCAACCTGAGCAAATTTACCCATGTTACTTTCTCAACATTCTAGTATGCTCTCCAATTTAAAACCCGTTTTTTTTTTTTAAGCTTCGTTTCTTTAGTACTATTCTTTTTCCCATTTGATTGCTTCATCCGCCTCATATCTCATTATGTGCGCGTATTATCTATATTATATAGATATAATATATATATGTATATATAGGAATTATAATTAATTCATATATATCATGTCTCTTTATAATTAATATATATTGTACATGAAACCGTATATTTCTATTTATTCAACTCAATTATCTAATTTTGTCATATTTTGAGAGATAAAATATTCTAAAAAATATTAAAACAAATGAGTTATATATAAATAATAAATTACGCTATTAATATTTTGTGTCAGCATTTACAATTGAAATCTTAGTTTTTTAATTAAATAAATGGTATGAGGATTGGAGAATGGAAAAATATCTTATAACACTAAAAAAGTTAAATTTAAATCCTTGTGTAAGGTTAGGTTAGAGAAGCAAAATTGCACCCTTTTTTTTTGTTTTAATGAACAGGATTATAGATAAGGACTTCTTATTATCAACATGAATAAGGAATTTTGCTCCTATTGAACAAATTATGAAATATTTACATATAAAAATTATAATTTAATTTTATATGTAATTTTGGCCCATCATCTTTATCAAGTTTCTTTCTTTTACTCATTCATCTTTTTTTCTTTTTGATATATCCTTTACTTTTGACCATATGGATTATAGAATTTTTTTCCCTTCTTTTTCAATACCATTAATTTACTCAATGAAAAATACTTAAATGATACTAAATTAATCTACCTAGTCATTTTAATTTTTAGTTATAGCACACTATATGCTATCAACAACAAATAAATGAGTAAATATTCTTAAGTTTTTTTATTTAAATTTCAAGATGCTCTACTTATTATCAGTATTATCATCATCATCATCATAATCATTGCTATATATTATCATGATTAAAGTTAAAAATCGCATTGCATAATTTCCATTCTATCTTCACTCTATATATTGATGGATCATTAATTTTTCATACATGTTTCATTCTAAAAGAGTAAAATGAAACACACAAAAAAAAAATGAATGGCATTGAGCTAGAGAGAAACAACATTATTTATAACTTATATATGGGGCAACTTCAAATTTGTTTTATATTTTAATAAATAAATACTATTGTTATAAAAATTAAATTTGAATAATCTAAATCTATGTGCAGAGAATTTTTTTTTTGCATAAGACTTATAAATAGAAAAATTATTTTACATATTTTATATGAAGAAAATAATTGCATCAAATTTCTTATATCTATTATTTCACTTTCTCTAATCACAGATGACTATATGTACAATATTTGAAATCTTAGCATTTTATGTCATTTAATTATAAAGTCACCTAAAAAAATTAGAATCTATGGCCATATGTGATTATGAGAACTTAATATAATGGACATAAAAAACTTTATCTAAGTTTTTTTAATAGGAATTACTCATAATTAAAATGTGAATCATATTAATTATGATTTGAGTAAATTGATTTTCTTGGTCTGAAAATAGTATGACTTGTTATAGATCACTTCTATTTTTGCCTCACTTTTGATAAGGAAAAATCCCTTCCTTTGATTAATTCATTCAATAATGAAGTATGAAGCATGGTATTTAGTTAGGTATACGCTCAAAATTAAATATATTTCAACGGTTATGATGTCATTTGATTTTACCTTTTGAATAATCTCTCCCATACTTCTCTCTCACATGCTGCAATTTAATTTGTTGGATAAAGACAAGTTCAAGTTCACCTACTAGCTAGCTACCATAATTCCAAAAATTCGGAAACATCACAGTGGGAAAGAAAAAGATCCAAAATATGTATTTCCATTTTTTTAAAAAGATAAAACTTAAAATTTAAAATTTAAAAATGATCAGTTTACTCAACTTCACATGGTATGGCTATGTTACTTCCATAAATTCAGGTTAAAAAAATTAAAATTACTCTATCATTACAACTACAATTAAAATCTCAAAGCTAAAACGTTAACAATTTACTCGGATTGAATTATTTTTTCCGTTACAATTATTAATTATGATTTCAATCATATATCTAAAAGAAACAAACGGAGTCTAAACTAAAGCTGGAAAAACCTTTCTTTTAATTCAAATGAATAATTATACTATTGTAAAGTAAACAATTCAAACCGTTTTACAATTCATAAAATAATAATCGAAATTAATTAAATATGTAAGAAAAATAACAATATTAACAATATCATCAATCAATAATTTTGAAGAAAAAAACTAATAAAAATGCATAAATAAACCAACCCTTGATCCTAAAAGACTAGCTTCCATAGACTCTGGCTTAATATTAGCTAGTTTGCTATTTGAAAACCTAAATTTCAAATATTATCGTAATAATTTTCAAACCTAAATAAATCTTCGGGCTTGGCTCATTTTCCGGCTTAATGGGTGAGGCCGTGAGGGTATCAAATTGAATTAGTTTCAAATTAAACCGCGGATTTCCTTCCCCAAATAATTTTTAATTTCCTCATTTACCATCCAGCTCATGGGTAGTCACATGCTGCATTTGCTGAATTATAAATATGGGACTCGTTCATTCATCTTCTTAATTCACAGACTTCATTCACTTGCAGACAAACTCCATGGCCAACATTCTAAGCTTCCACACATTTATTATTATTATTCTCTATCTCCTTATCTTCTTCCAAACACTTGAAGCCACCATTAACAGCTCCTTCACCATCCAGTTACTCCACAGAAAATCACTTTTTGTCTCTTCTTCCCCTCCTTCTTCCTCTTTCCTCCCTTCATTCCTCACCAATCCGTCCTCCAAAGTAACCTCCAACAATGGCGACTACCTCATGAAACTCTCCCTCGGGACCCCTCCGGTCGACATCTATGGCTTAGCCGACACCGGAAGCGACCTTATTTGGACACAGTGCCTCCCCTGCAATAACTGCTATCCCCAGAAAGCGCCCATGTTTGACCCCACAATGTCCCAAACCTTCAAGCCCATTCCATGTGGTTCAGAGCCATGCGCTTCGATGTACGGCACGTCGTGTTCGCCGGAGAATTCGTGTGGGTACAGTTACGAGTATGCAGATTCGTCGGTGAGCAAAGGGGTTCTAGCAGAAGAGAGATTCAGTTTTGGAGGTGCTGAGAGTGATATTGTGTTTGGTTGTGGACATGAGGATTCTGGGACTTTTAATGAGAATGATATGGGAGTGATTGGGTTGGGTGGTGGACCTCTCTCACTTGTTTCACAGATTGCAGCCGCTTTTGGAGGAAAAAGACGATTCTCTCAGTGCTTGGTTCCGTTTCACACTGATCCTAATGTTGCAGGTAAACATGTTTATTTCAAATTTTGCTTTTGAAATTCTCTTAAATAATATTTTTCTATATTTTTTTCAATCAAAACGGTTATTGAACTGATAGAAATATAATTCAAGTGCATTTGTAAACTTGTCTTTTCAATCTCTAATCACAATGCTCTTAATATAAAAATGTTGATATTAAAATTTTAGTGGAAAAAACACAAAAAAAACCTTAAAAATTAAAAAATTATATATAGAGACCCGTTCATAAAAATTATTGTCATTTGTTTATCAATTTGTTGTCAAAACCCATAGTAATGTTGTAATTGATCCCTATTTATAATTTTCTATTTTCATGGTTTTTTTGTGATTTTTTCAATTTTTACATGTTATAAAAATAACAATAGATATAAAAAATCAGTAGTGTTAGGATTAAAACATTAAAAAAAAACTTTATAAAAAAGTCCCATATGAATAATGCTCTTGCTATTTGTCTGCTTTGAGGAATGAATAAAATATGGGAGGCGGAGAGTTAGTTCCGTTTGCGGTTCGAAGAAGATTAGTTAGGCCCAGCTCTTGAACCTCGCCTTGTTCTACTTTCCTCTTTCACGTATTTTATTGCGCGCGGGCGCGTATATGATTTCTCATACTCCCTCCGTTTCTTATTATAAGAGACGAATAACCGAATTATATTGATAAAAAAAATAATTAAAATTAGTTAAAAACAATCAATGTGTAAAAAGTATAATTTTTTTTTCAAAAATGCCCTCATTAATAAGGAGAGAGAGCATGAGAGAGAACAATAGTAAATTATTAAAAGAAAGAGAAGTGGAAAGGAGAGAGAGTGTGAATTGGAGACAATAAATATGGGTAAAATAGGAAATCAACGTAAAAAAATAGAGACAACTTTTAAGTGTTTCTTATATATAGGAACATGTCATAGACATCAAATGTCTCTTATAATAAAGAACGGAGGGAGTATCTATTGGTGTGTGTATACATTTGGATAGTCCGTTGATCCGTATTTTTATTAGACAATACTATCAAGTTGCTTATATTAATTATATCAGGTTTTCCAGTTACACATAATTGTGTGTCCTATTTTTAAAATATTAATATTTAATAGCATTTAATTATAAACTCACATAAAATCAAAAGAACATGTATGATTGAAGAATTTAATATAATGAGTATAAGCAAATTCACCTAAGTTCTTTTTTTTTTAAAAAAAATATCCCAAACAAAAGGCCCCATAATTTCTTATTTATTTTGAAAATATTTAAACCTCGATGCCATTGTAAGTTTCAGTCCATAAAAGAACGTCATTCTTTTTTTTTTTGATATAAACCATCCGGTATCCAACCGCGCCTTTTCTGGGCCCCAGCCTTTTTAGGCCAGTTGTACCCGAGCGATCGACTAGTCCGGATTTAGGCCAGGCGACAAGTAAAGCCCTCCCCGGTACCCTTTTTAACAAGTGAGGATTCGAACCCCCGCGCTCAAAGAGCAGAGACTCGCCTCACTTGTGGCCTAGCCAGTCACCACTAGGCTAGGAGTATTCGGGTTAAAAGAACGTCATTCTAAATTGTAACCAAGTGGGATATGAACTTCCAACAAGTTGGTGTGGTTACGATTTTGATCCTATTGATTAGGGGTATTCATAGGATGACACTAGACTAGAACAACCTCATCTTGATCCTATCCTGTTAATTGGGATGAGATAGTCTTTCTGTCCCATATTCTGTCCTATTTATTTAATTTATCTGTATTGATTGCACATATGAAGGGAATGTTCACTAAAAAATAATTCTAATGGAAATAATTCAAAAGAATATTTTAATAAAATTAGTATATTTTGTATAAATAACTAATTTAACTAAATTTATTAATATTTGTAAATTAGTTATCTAGTTTTTGTATCTAATATCGGAGGAAATAATAAATACATATTCCAAATTTGCAGGAACTCTAACATTTGGAGAAGGCAGTGAAGTCACTGGGGAAGGAGTAGTGACAACCCCATTAATATCTCAAGATGGTGAAACTTCATACATAGTATCACTCAAAGGCATTAGTGTCGGTGACATTTTTGTGCCCTTCAACACATCAGAAACTGAATCGTCCCAAATGAACATAGTGATTGATTCAGGCACACCAACAACATATTTGCCTCAAGATTTTTATGACCAGTTGGTTCAAGAACTTAAAGGGCAAAGCAACATGGTTCCCATTGAGGATGACCCAGACTTGGGTTCACAACTTTGTTATCAGGCTGATACAAATGTTGAGGGGCCAATACTTACTGCCCATTTTGATAATAATGCAGATGTTCCATTGATGCCTATACAAACCTTCATCCCTCCCAAAGACGGTGTCTTTTGCCTTGCCATGGCTCCTTCTAGTGATGGCTTACTTATATTTGGGAATTTTGCCCAATCTAATCTCTTGATAGGCTTTGATCTTGAGGACAAGATTGTGTCCTTCAAGCCCACTGATTGCACCAGCCAATAAATAGAAAGAAAGAAAGAAAATAATGATTGGATAGTATCTCATATTGTATGTGTAGTATTTTAGATCTTTTTTAGTGATTTCGAAAGACATATGAGATAGAAAAACAGAACATCTATATGAAACAGGGTATTTGGTTGGTCCCACGTCTCAATCTCTCTCCTCACTAGTTGCTTTAGCTAGTCATTAGAGTGATTTTAAGTCCATATGCATGTAATTGGAGTAACAATTAGTTGGTAAATTTTACTTATACTCAATTGTGTTCCATGATCCATCATTAATCAATAGACTTCATGTATAACAAATGTGAATATGGCGAGTTGAATAAACCATTTATATCCTTCTCGTATTAAGTACCTAATATGTGAATATGCAATGTAGGTATTCTTCTTTATTATATCACTAAGTGGAACCATAAGCTCATCCATGACCTTGCCCACACACTAGATTAATCAAAGTTCCTTCTATGCTTGAGATACACCCAACCAAAGAAATAAAGCCCAAGCCCATACTATTACTTTCCTCCTTATTGTTAAATAAGAATGCGTGATACATACCAGCGCACGCTGGCATAGATGGATGAGGGTCTGTGTCCCTTAACCATCACTCCTAGGTTCAATCCTGCTGGAGGATGGGAATGGAGCAAGCGTGCCTGGGAGGGTCGCCTCCTTCTTGGGCCTCTGTAGTACTCAGGTGATTAGTCATTGGGAGACCGCCCCGGTGGATACACTGTAACAAAATCTTTACCAAAAAAAAAAAAAGAATGCGTGATACATGCTCCGAACAAATGCTTGACTAGGGCTACTCATGTCATCCCTGTCCTGATTATAGGGAAAGGGGATGGTCCTATTCTAAAATTTCTAGGAACAGAACAAAGCCGAGATAGGACAAAAAAGGGATTAAGACTGGGACAAGATGTGGGATGGGAGCATGTCAAACTTGTCTCCTCTCCGTAAATGTACTTGCATTTTTCTCACTTGCTTGCAACCTGTTTTGAATGGGTAGATATCATTCAGCTCAAATGCAAATTTCTTACGACAAATTCTTAGCCCAGTCTTTATTGGGTTCAAATATTACAAATAGCCTAGTGACACTAGTCCTCTTTTGTTGACATCAAAAACAGGGGTTCATGTTAAAAAACCAGGGGTTCATGATTGTCATCTCTTTGCTCAATCTGAACTGACGAATTTGCAGGCGCGGCCTTTACCATGGTTTGCTAACCAGTTTCATCATGGAGCCTTAATGGTTCGAATATTTCATGCAATAAAGCGTGTACAGATGCTATTCGATAATAAGCTTTTATTCTCATAGATTGAATCCTCCCTCATCTTCAAGGTACTTGGTGTGAGTATGGGAGATGAGTAGAAGACAATAAATAAGGCCTATGATTATTGGGCTGCTCTTTTTTTTAGCAGGTTGTCCCAATCCCGTCCCCATCCCAATTAACTAGGACAGGAAGCAGGATGCAAATGGCATCCCATCATTATGTGAGATAGGAGTGTTCCGATCCTATTCTATGAGTAGCCTTATACTTGACAGTTCTGAATCATCAAATATTTGAAATATTCAACGAATAACAACCAAATATAGTAGCAATATCATTTTTTTTAAAATTAATTTACATTGAACCAAAAAGTGACCCTCAAATATAGGGTAAATTTTGAAAAAGAAATAGCCTTTGTGATGGATGGGATGGGTGGCTCTAAGATTAGTAAAGAACAATCAGCATGATCGTGCATAGGATGCTCCACCAATCTAAGAAGCTCTTATCATATATATCATAAAAGCAATTTATTTTAATATTTTCAACAATTATATTATGGACAATATTTACATCAAATTCCTCATATTTATTATGGACAATTCTCTAATCATACATGACTGTATGTATTATTTTTAAAATATCAGCATTTAATTATAAACTCACATAAAAAAAAGAGGATATATGGCCATGTATGAATAAAGAACTTGATATAATAAATATAAGGAACTTAGCATGAGTAATTTCCTTACATTACCCCTAAAAGCCAAATTTTCTTTAACTAACTTATTTTGTTCGTAGACGTGTGTAGGCGTTCACTCATAATTGAGATGCAAATAAGAGATGCGTGTATGCACGTACACAAATAATTTAAGTTATACAGACATATGTAAGTAAATACTATATGGATGATTATAAAGGCTACTATATTATGTACATACCTACATATGTACTTAATTAGAGCCTTTACAGTGCAACCAAATATCTTTTACTATTACACACAAGTTCGCACACAGATATATATATATATATATATATATATGTATACATAAAGATATAGCAAGTAAATGCACCTTATTGATTTCAAAGGCTACACTTTATTAAGTACACATACTTAATTATTGGAACCTTTGAAACTCAATGAGAGAGCCTTTACAAATATGCATGTGCATATGTACGCATGTATATATGAAAGTAAAGGGTATCTCATTGATTTTAAAGGCCACTAGATTAGGTTATATTAGGTTCTCTCTCACATACATGCATACCGGCATGTGTGTATGTGTACACAGAGAGTAAAAGGTATCTCGTTTATTTCAAAGGTCGCTATAGCAAGTCATATTAGGTTCGCACACGCGAACACACAAAACCAGAGCTTTTGAAACTAGATATATGTTTGTGTGTAACTGCATATATATGTTTGCAGCAAGTTTCATGTCATAAATGTACACAGTAATATTCAAAAGCCATTGTACTCAGACCGATATAATCATAACCAGCAACAGCTGGATACCATTGGCTATAAGATCACACACACACACAAACCAGCAGGAGTAGTACGTTATGGTAATGGTTGTGGTGGTAGTGGTCATAGCAATAGTATGTAGTGGTGGTGGTATTTGTGGTAGTGGTAGTAGTTGTGAATGTGGTAGTGATGGTAGCAACAACAAATTTGAGGAGGGTGAAGACGAACATGCATCTCCATGGAAGCAAAAGAACATGATGATAAATAAAATTACTAACAAAAGAAACATATATCCTTACAATTTCTTTTCAACTGCTTTGAAAAATTCACTTCAAAGTAAATGAACAACATTTTTCGCATTTTGAGGTTGGATTCAAAAATTAAAAAAAAAAAATTAACCAAAGACAAATCGATGTATAGTTCATAGACGGAATATTTAATTTTTTATACATAAAAAAAATGGCTTCTATTATACCTTGTTATGATTTTTAAAGGTCAAAAAATGATAAAGACACATTTAATCCTTTAACTTTACAAAACGTTTTATTTCAATCCATCAATTTTATAGTGCTTTTGTTGTCTTCCAATCCAAACATAGTTAATAAAAGATGTTGATATTAAAATTAATTTTAAATGCTAATAAAAAATTTTTAAATGCTAATAATGATTGACATATCAGTTGAAACCATGGTACCGGCCAAGTTAAACAGAAAACCAGTCACTTGACTGATCCGGTCAACCCTTGTTAATCGAGAAAATTTGACTTAGGGTGATCCGAAGTAACCCAGACAAACTCAGGAGCAACCCAATTAACCCGCTCGGTTTGATGGTTAACCCATCAGCATCTCCCTCCCCCCTTGTAGATAGGAATATTTTTTTTTAATCATATATTCATATTGATATTTTGCTAGAATGAATATGTAGTAATTTTGGTAGGATGATACTATGATGTGAATTTTTCAAAGCAATTGTAAAAAAAGTTGAAAAGAAATTATAAGTATATATGTTTCTTTTGTTAGTAATTTAAGGGACAGAATTGATATTTAGTCCTTAGATGGTATGATAAAAATTTAAATTATTTTTAAATTTTTTTTATTTCTCATAGGTTTGACTCTTGTGGTGAGTCTGGTCTGGCCTATTGACCCTTAACCTATTATCTCGACTGATTCACTAATCAGCTTGGTTTTCAGTACCTTATTTAAAATTGATGTTATTAGAATTAACAAATTGAAACTTTCAAATATTAAAAACAAAATAAAACCTTATATAAAGTTGGAGAATCAAAAATACACTTTTCCCAAAAAAATTGACCAATACATATATATATATATAAACAAGGTGGACAGTATTATTATTTGTACTATTCATTTCCCAAAGAACTAACCCAAAGGGGGAAAAAACAAAATAGATATTACAATATTATTTCTTCTCTTTAAGAGAAGATAAGGTTATTGCTCCATTGCCACATGAACGGAGAGCATCTATATAAGAAATGAACTGCATTCTAAAAGCCCCCTTTAGTCCATGCTCACTAATATATTCTAGCTTGTTGCCGACTAAATCATACCTGTACAAGCTTGACTTCGTAGCAAACACTAAAGAATCCCCATGAATGTTATTAAATCCAACAGCAAAAGAATCCAACTCCATGTTCTCCAATTCTATGGTTGGAAGCTTCGACCAAGAACTTGAATCATAGTCATTCAAAAGCCATATGTTAAATATCGAACGGTTAGTCAATGTTACAAAACACATAGACTCATTCGAACTTCCAACTTTGCCCCACTTGAAAATACCCATATCAAGATAAGCTATTTGAGCATTCTCAAATGCTTCTTTTGGAAGATTGAGAAATGTCGATACGCCACTATCAAAGTGGTGCGTTGCTATACATGGAATAAAGTCAAGATTATCACTCTTATTATATGACAAAGAACATTCTAAGGTGAAGTGAATGGCTCCTTTGTGGATCAAAGGAGGCTCACATATCAAGTCCCAATGTCCCTCAAAGATTCCTTCTCCTGATTTCCACACACGTTCTTTTGGCATATAAGTCAAGCACTTATAACCCAGTGAGTTTAGCTCTTCAATAGTAACTAACTTGTATTCCTCAAAATTGCATTCAAAGGCATATTTTAAACGAGAAAAAGGACTCCTTGTCAAATTGTTCGGAGAAGGTATGAGTAAGCATGAATTTGTTATGGGGTTGCAGATAAAATAATTGCTTGATATTTGGCAGAGAAGTAATCCATTACTAGAAGCAAGAATTCTTGAGGAGCTTTTAAAAAGGAAGTCAAGGAAATTTCTGGGCACAATAGAAGAAGATGCTCGCTGATGATTCCAATGTAATGAATGTTGGAAATTGTGCCCTAGGGGCCAATCATTGTGTTATGAATATTGTTGATTTATGAATTTCTTAATTATATTATCATATTATTTACATGTTTACTATGATGACTATCCTTGGATAACTCATGATTTATCCTAAATGTCCCTGGTCGGTCATCTATGTGGGAGCAGAGATGAAATGA